AATTTCGCATCGTTCACAATCCATTATTTCTTTCCCATAATTCTCTTTCATATGTGGATACATTCGCAAATTAGTTCGTTACATTAAACAGAACGAAACAACTTCTGGAGGCTATAATCATTCACTACGAATTACAGTTTTAAACTGGATCGAAAAAGCACTTCCGATGAGTTTCTATTATTGTTCACCCGTCAATGGCACCAATCAAGACGGGTTTCGATGTTCGATGTAAAAGGCTCCACACAAAATGGCACGTTGAAGAATAGTACGATGGACAATACCAATTTACAATCAAAAGTAAACATTTCTCAAATTTCACTTTTGCTTTTTCATGGAAAGTTCAGCATCCGCGTGAAGCAAGCCTATCAACAGCACACTGATAAATAAAACTGGTTCCCGATCTGTAAAATGCAATCAATAAATCAGCTGTTTTGAAGTTAATCTTTCTAAACCGGTAAAATACTCCTATATTAATAGAAGTCATGATGTAATTATAAAATCAATTAGTGGTTTTTCATAAATATCTGATAGTTATGGCATCATCGTAATCAGCGAAAATGCTCACCAATATCACAAATACCAAATTGATTTTAAAAAAAAACTGAAATAAAAATGACAATATATCGAAAAAATTGAAGGGCAGTATATTTTACATGGACAATATCAGTTTAAAGATTCCAAAATGTAAAATCTTGAAAGTTGCTGTATGAACAAGCTCGACCGAATGATTTTTACATAATGTAAGCACTGAACAGAGACTCAACGTAAAATGCAAATAGAACACAATATGTCAATTTGCGTTAGGGATGATGCCTCATGAGAAAAATGCTTGCATAAAGCCTCTGAACAGATAGATGAAGCAATAAAGGATTGCTTGATATGGAAATGCATATGAACGAGAACGATAATAACTGACGACGACAACATTATGTTCGTGTCAGATTTATGGTGCATGATTTGCGTTATTTTTTGCCCGAATGCATGCATACATTCAACGACATCAAAAACCAGTCTTTCAATGAAATCGTATAAAGAAACCAATTTGAATAAAGTATAGTTTCACTGAACATATCTGAAACGTGAATTTTGATATTGACACATATCAAAGAGCAATCACGCAACACAAACAATTTATTTGAATGTGGATATGTGATCGAAATGCCATAATTCTAGTGGGCTAAAACCACCGAACACGAATGAAGATAACCCTGACTGAACATTTGGCTTAACGACGTTCGGCCTAAGCACATCTCGTCCAGTGGACATTTCGCCTAATGGGCATTTGGCTTAATGGATATGAAGATTATCGAACGGCGGCTAGGATTGAAATATAGGCCTCTGAGGTCATTCAAGATTATCATCCTTGTGTATTGATGAGTTTTTCGAGTCCTTAAGCTCTACTTCCTGAAATTCTTCAGCCAATTTGCTTCATAACTTTTAAGTAGGATCTTTAGCCGCTTACAATTAATATTGGTGTTTTTCATGGCTTTGATCATGCTACTGTTAGCATTTCTTCAACTGATGGTAAATGCGACGCACAAGCTTAGGATCGGGCCAAGCATGAAGCTTCGGATGGCTTCGGATGGCTGATATTTGATAGTTATTTGGTAGTTACTTTTTAGTTTGTCGATCGCCCAAAGCGATCGGCAAACTAAAAAATGTGATTACCATAACCTGAAAATCAGCCCATATCTGAACATCTTTAATAAAAATTTGTATACCGATGTGATTTTAATAAGTTCAGTAAGTGCTCCACAAGAACAAGTGTACAAGCTCACAAGATGAGTTACTGAACACAAATATAAAAGCTTGATATGTTAAGTAATTCATTTCCGTGTTTCAAAAAATTATCGTTTAACACGGCTGGTTCTCCGAACCTGGCCAAACAGTCCTTCTCTCATTTCCAATGCAGCAACATGCACCGTGACCACTTTCAACACTGACATTAAGAATGAAACAATGCGATAAATTAAAGAAGTTTATTCAGTTCCACCGAAATCGCCCATATATGTCATCTTCATAAAATGTCCAGCAAGATCGCCCACGTTGGAAAACACTGATTCATACAATTATTATTATTATTATAATACAAGCAAATAGCATTGGCAGCGTTTGCAGTACGAATATACATGGTGCACGACAGACATTAAGTACATACTTTATAGGCATTCAAATAATGTTATTTATTATGATATAATGATAAGTGGCTATTATGCACAATAACTCAAAATAGACTGGAAACTCTTATATTCATTCGTTTAAGTTGGCTCAAATTTAGGTGCGGGCAATCCCAATGAGAGCAACAAGTTCACAACTGCACGATAGATGTTTGAGCATATCGCCTTCATGATGCCACGTAATGTATATCAAAGTTGTGAGCGTAACTCATTGAATATCATCAATTTAGTGGCATTTGTCAGATAGCTTATGAGAGAAGTGAATAAATAAATTCGTCTTGTTGTAATCAACTGACGTATTGTAGTAATAAGCTTTAGTCTTTCTGGGAACAGACTCAATTGGTGAGCACTTCAACAGATCAACATTTGCTTATCGGATGCTCAAGAGCAAGTTTAACAAGGGATACGTGAAGTCTCAGTTGTTGCGTATATACATTATAATTTGAGGGATTGTTTGCTTGTCAGTTTATTCTCTCAACATTCATAACTCCAAATTGATATTTCAAAGGAGACTGCTCATAAAATGCATTCACAAAATAATTCACAAAATAATCCGAAAATAACCACGCATATTCAATCAGTAATATCACCATTTTCAGCGATGTTCGACTGCGAATCACTACGTTCAACATTATCAACAATATCACTTTTTAGGGAGTGATTGTTTGTTGTCGGTGTGGCTGAGGTTTTTGTTTGCTGTTCTTCTCGCTGTTCACGGACCTCTTTGACGGTTGGTGATCGTTCACTCATAACACGATCATAATAGGATGTTGAAACGACATCACGTGGTTTTTGAAAGCCGCCGGTTCTGGTCTGCGACTGCAGTGTTAACTGCAACTTTTATTCACTTACATTGCCTCACGTTCATTTTTCTTTCTTTTTTTCGGATGAAGTACTGAAGAACAAAAGTTTCAAAAAGACAATCTCATAAGTGCTCACTTGACCGCCTAACCAAGCCATATACCGATTGGAATCGAGTTCATCTTTTTCTGTCCTATCCAATCCCTCGATATGCGTTATTGTCTTTCGATTATTATGAAGGCCCGTTGCAAATCCCTGAAATGCATCATCTTATTGTTGTTCTGACATTTTCAATCAGATCTTGCTAGTATGAACAGCTGCAAATGTGCACCAGATGCTGCCTATTCCGGCTTTGCTTGACTGGAAACCTTCAGAGGATCAGTTTTTGTTTACTTTCCCAGATTAGACTGCTCAACTCGGAACTGTTACGATCAGCTCTCAATACTTTTTCCATCCTACACTTTACAGCAGCAATCTGTCATATTTGTACATACTTAGTTCTCTATGAAATCATTCAAAAATAACTGATATTTGTAATGAAATTTTTTCATTCTAGATGTGCAAATAGAAAATTTGTTTGTTGAATGAATGGTGTATGTTTACAGTTGTGATTCGATCGAACATTTAATAAATGACTTAAAAGTGCAACGTTAATTGAATGATGAGAAAAAGCATTCTAAATTTGTTTGTAAGCAAAACAGAAAATGAATTCGTCAAGAATGAATTCAAAGCGAGATGAGAGCAAATTCAACAAAGTCTTTTTGGTTAATTTAATGTATTCTCTTTTTGTTCGACTGCTGGCTTTTAAGTAACAATGGACTTTGTGAATTGAACGAATTAGTAGATGAAAAAATAATGTAAACTGGACGGAAAAGGATCTCTTTCATTCAGACAACAAAGTGTGGCGAGAAGCTTTCAAGGCGATTTTCAAGGAAAAGAAGCAATTTGAACGGAATGAGTCTGTGAAGAGGGGTTCTCGATTACACGAACAAAATGCAATCGAAAATTTTGCTCGACATGTCGGTCGCGAGCATGGGAAATGCACAAGCAGGCAAAAAATGATAAGCACAAATACGAGCAACTCGAAAAATTACTTTTGTACCCGTTAGCAACCAATAAGCAACTTGTTCTTTTCGAGACCTTTCCATCTTCAACAAAGTACTAGAGACAACAATGGGAAAGCAACGACTAGAGACGGTTGATGAAGATTTTTAAGATATTGCTCTCAATTCATAGCTGAATGCAACTGAATAAGAATGATACTATGTTTCGAGAAAACTCGATCGAACACTACATAAACAGCGTTAAGAAAGATATCCAATGTTGCAATATATTGTTGATTTATTGGCTTGAATTCGGTACACAACACAGAGCGATAACTGATAATAAACTGCATGAACGGTTGTAAACTTTTTCTATATCAGACAGCTTCTAGTTTTGATTAGCGGAAAGCGATTTGAAGTAAACGAATGATGAAGTGTCTTCAGAATGGAGGCAATGGGCCGACCTCGGCGGGTTTTTGTGCTTTCGCAGCGAACGTTTCTCGAGGATCCTGGAATCGAGGAATGGCGGCCCGACACTCGTTCAGCTCCTTCTCACTGAAACTCCTTCCACCAACAGATGGCGTTACGGCACCTCGTTGCTTACCTGCAGTCATTCAAGTTGTCATTCTCGATGATCACTTGATTCAATCAGATTAATTTAGATCAATAAAAAGACGATATGACCAACAGCAAATTGAAATTCCAAAATTTCCAGATGTTCTCATGAAATTTTTCTTACCAAAAGGTTGAAGGTTTTTCGCTTGCGGGCTTGGCTGTGACCAGATCGTGAGGATTCGTTCCGAGCTTCGATCGTTGAGCAGTTTGTTGATATCTTTCTTTGCTTCACCATCCTGCAAAACTCCATCATGCTGCCGATGCATTCACACAACAAATTACATCAAATTTGATATGCTAATATGTTCAAATATCTCGTCTCTTCTCAGTGATTTCGATGGCTAAAATTTGCAATCGAAATGAATCAATTAAGATGACGGCAACATCACTCATCCACTGAACGAATCACACATCTGCAAAAGTGACCTTTTCTTGAACTTTGGCCACATGTTCTCGAAATCCACCGAATGGAGTCAAACCAGACTGTGATGCGAGTTCTTTGTCTTTCAAAGGAGGACAATTGATCCAAGGCACGACGCCGTCATTACTTTCACTTAATCCTTTACTACTCGTTACCACTGTCGCTGAAATTAAACTGTTTCGTTTGCAATTTGAAACAACTGACGAACAGATCATCCATCAATAGGTAATTGTTCATTAGTGCAAATCTGCACTGAGTTAATTGCTTGATTTCTGATCGGCTCTTATGTATTTGTATCAAATGATGTTCATTTCGCAATATTGAAGTTAGCTAATGTTATGATCATATCATTAAGCATGTGCTAATTTGGTGCGTCATGTGCTAATTTGTCACGTGAATGCATCCGTGCACTTAATTGCAAGTTCGAAACAATTTATACGATTACGATCGTAATCGTATAAATTCTGTAAGCAATGGTTATTGCATGAAATAAACTCAATATGCCAAACTCTTCGTGCTCTACTGACTAATCTACAATCTTTTACACAACTAATACTAATGAGCTGTCTCAATGCAATGAAATTTTCATGAAATGAAGTTTTCGAATCAATTTTCGCTGAAGCTTTGAAGCTTTTTTTTNAAAAGATGGTTTTCATTCCAATATTACAACGAATGTTCATTACTAAGTGGTGAGCTCAATAAAAGAATCTTTATGGATGTTTGAAAACAACCCTGAAAAATTTTCATTTCATTCAGTAAGAGGTGTATTTCCACGTGAAGTGTATCCCTTTTTATGGTACCCTTCGCTAGTTTTGAAGTAAAACAACTGATTGCTCACTTAAGTGAGTGCATATACTCAAATGACACACTAAAGTGATGCGCAAAGTAATCTTCAGATGTGAATCTTCTAATGGCAGTTGTTGCATAAAAATTTCACTTCAACAATTCGGACAATTGCATCGAGTCAAAACGATCGAAACAGTCATTAAATGCACACTCGGCAACAGTAATTGCTTTTACGCATTGCTAGTTATTATAAAGGAGTGTGACCTCTTATTGAACAAAAATCATTCGCTCCATACAAATTCAACGAACAAGCAACAGTTGTTTGATTGGATTTTGACTTGGACTTTTACACTCTCTCGCCGTACTTATTCGAGGAATTAGCTTGATTTCGATGATACCATTAAAAAACCAATTCAAATGTGCCTGCCAGCTAAGAATAAATCAAAGCAATTCTGACAAAAATGCACGCATACTTCACAGTCAGAGTACGATGGTTGTCTTGACAGCTTTCATTCAAACAGTCGAAAATAAAACGAAATCTTCATGGAACATATCAATCAAAGAAACTAAATAAATCAATATTGCAAGAAAATATGACTTATTCACAAACAGAAGCCAAACAAAATGAACANAAAAATGCACGCATACTTCACAGTCAGAGTACGATGGTTGTCTTGACAGCTTTCATTCAAACAGTCGAAAATGAAACGAAATCTTCATGGAGCATATCAATCAAAGAAACTAAATAAATCAATACTGCAAGAAAATATGACTTATTCACAAACAGAAGCCAAACAAAATGAACAATTGATTTTTTTCGCTATGTTAAAAAAAATAAGCTTATTTCACATGATGTAAAAATGGATACTCAGAATTCTTTAAAATATTTCAGTATCGAAAATGCATGAAATGTTGGCAAAATTGACATGAACGATGGATGCTACAAAAAAACTCGATGATATTCATTCACATGAATGAACGTTGTTTCAGATGCATGCTTACTGTATCTGTTTACAATTTATATTCATTATCCGAAGAGCTGCTCATTCAAATGAATTTATGACGTTGCATTTGTTTATTTTGACGCTAGTCGTTTTTGTTATGCGTTTGCACAGCTGTCATCAATTGAGCATGATCTGAGCGAAAAGTTATGTTGTTGTTTATTCATCGGAGAACATAACAATCCTCTTGCACACTATCAAATTTCAATCGTTCCCATCATAATGAATAGCAAAAACACTAACCATAATATATGGTTTATGTGCTTCAATTGAATTAATGTTAGTGTGCTTTTTATGCTTCAATTAATGTGTTTCAATTCAATTAATGTTAGTGTGCTTTTTATGCTTCAATTAATGTCGAAATGCGATGCAATGATCGTGTATCATTTTAAAACAATTTATTGTCAACTTTCCGAATTAAAAATTAAATGATTTTTAAAAGCTTTCGTAGAATAGACGATGTCGATTAACGAGAGCGATTAGCGCCTAATATGCACTTGAAACATTCTCACTCTCTGATTGAAGGTAGTTCGATGAAGTTATTCCGAGACGATTTATAAGCTCAATGAGGTCATTCTCCATGATTATATGTCGTTATGATAACGTAAAATTGATAACAATATCAAATCAATTCAGTGAATCAACGAGTGATCTATTGACTACGATTAACTTCGACTGTTACTATCAATTTCTATTTCACATTAAACACGAATGATTTATTGATTCGGCTATAGATTATTAGACGCTTGATGTATTATAGACAGTGAAATTTATGGGAATATTGATTTATGCAATTATGGGATAATAAATAGTCGATTTATATATCAAACATGATAAGGCAACATCAACGTTAAAAAACATCGCGGCTGATTAATGTTGAAACTCTTAAGTGTTGTCACTGTCGAATGGGGTACGAAAGAAAAATGAGAATGAACGATAGCTGGACGATCGTAAAAGATTGAAATAAGAGCATGCCAAAATAACTCACTTGCGTTTCGAAGCATTCCAAAGCCGCCACTTCCTTTTTGGCTAGCGTATTTATTTGAACCTGATTCCCATGGAATAACACATGGAAGAACAATTTTACGACGAAATTTGGGGTCATTTCGATTTAGATTAGTCTTATCCTGTAAAGTGAACGAGTTCAAAATACACCGATAACAATGAACACCGATGTAAGACGGCGGCTGCATTTCATCAAAAAATGATGATCACGTTCATTCTCCACAACAAAATCCATCTTAAAAACATTACTACTTCTCCGAGCGTAACGCCCTATTCGCTGTTTGATTTGTTGATCACAGCTCTTCCTCGAAAACAACATTTTCGTAACTTTAACTTTTAACAAAACAATCAATCACTGATGCACCGAGTGTTTCTCATGTGAATTTTTTATTGAGCATTGTTGTTTGGATGGATTGGTTAGGAGATGAATTATGCATTATTGTATGACACTGTTGTTCTATCAGTAATGTATTATGACTAAGCATTATAATGAATAGGTATATTCATGAGAGGTGTTCAGTATGAAGTGCTGTGATTTATAACTGAGAGGTTGTTCGAACGGGCATATAAAATGGCACATTTATGCGCTGATATTGACTGAGATCAGGTGATTAGTTTGATTTGATGGCACCCAATTAATCGCTTGTCAAACAAATTATTCGATTTGCTTCATGAAAAGACGCTCAATTCTGAGCGAAATTCGTCAACGACCTTACTTTTGGTTCACTTTACAGTGCGTGAATTCTGTTGGTTTTTATTAAATTTCGGTTTGTCACAATAAATTTTGGTTTGTCACAGATATAACTATGAACACTCTACAAATCACTTCTGCGTGACTCAATAGAGATTCGAAGCAGTTGAACTGATTCATTCAATTAGTTGGATGAGTACTTTTTCAAACTATTATAATGAAATCACGTTGTATGCAAAGAATCAACAATCAAATCCCTCGAAGCGAGTGAATTCACATTAACATCAAGGCTGTCACACAATGAAACGACTGAATGAATAAAATTAACTGAATGCGGTGAAATTTCGTTTCATCAACTTTACTATTGCCTTCGAAATCACAAATGAAAACAAAACTGTTTACTCACCGTATTTGTGGCCATCTCTGTCGAAGAAGCTTGATTCTGATAGAGGTTGTGGAATGTTAACAGAATGAGTTAAGCAGCAATCGTTAGCAACTGACTTGAGCAGATCAGTGGATTATAATGCATGAAGGTGCGACAGAAATATAGTAATACAATCGAGAGAATTGAGTTAGCTGAATAGAATCCTGTTTGAATAAGGGCGACGATGGTATTGCTCTAAATATTGAATTCTGAGCATTTTGAGACTCGAATAACTCCTTTAGCACATCACTGTAGCCCCTTTCATCTCAGTTTTGATGACAGACATTACACACAGTTTTGTTGACTGCCTTCGTCAGCGCATTCCTCGTAGCACTTCACTCGCTGAGTTCCTTTTCCGCACAAATTTCGTTTCTTGCTGCACCTACAAGCATACAGTTTCTGAAGAGTGTCAACACTACACCAGTCAACACTCGTCAGCACAAGCATTCGAAAAATAACGAAAGCACGATGAAACTTTATCGATAAATAAACACTTCACTGAATCTTCAAATTATTTGCATTAGACGTAACGTCACGATCGCTCCGATGAATACATTAAATCGTTCGGCACAAAAATATGCGTCACGTCATTGATTGAGATTCGTTTAGAATTCATTTATTGAAGAAATTAGTTTTTGCATCTGTATAAGTGAACAAAATTCTGTGATATCAAACACTGTTTGATTGACGTCTCAAGATTAAACTCTTTGCAGCTCTAATGAACCCATCCAGTTTATCGCCGAAAGAACGCTGCCATTGTAAACAACCAAAGAGAACATGTCGCATACTAATGTTTTCTAGGTAGTACTAGTGCCCGCCTGTGATCTTGAAATCACTACGACCGATATAACGCGACAATCAAAGTACTCTGCAAATAAATCACCGTTCAAACTTAATCAAAATGATATCGCTTCAAAATATATTCGTTGTAGAAGTTTTGTTAGAATCTACTTTGACAACGGCATTTTGTTTTCATTCATAAATTATTCAGAAATTCATGAGATGACTGCAGACGCCTTTGATATAACAATAAATATAATATCTATCAAATAGCAGAGAGGGGTTTGGTATTAATGAATAAGAAAACTACAGCACAAATCTCGATTCGTATTTATGATGAATGCGGAGGAGAAATCATATGATAGATTACATCAATGATGATTTAACTGAGATGTTTTTTTTTTGAATGCATTAATATTTCCTTGCCACGAGTCATTCATTTGTCTTGTTGCTATAGTAACAAGTGCAAACAGTGTTCATTTTGAAAACGGTTCGAATTACTTTTCCGGAACCAATGCGAATATGATGAGTACGTTGTGAAGTTTTATAACGACGGCTGAATGAATGGGTTGTATGAGTAAATAAGTATAAATAAATAGACGCTCAAAGAAACACTTGAATAAGCACATTTCAAATATGAAGTATGTTGCATTATTGTTGTCATTCCTTTCTTCTGAAGGGACTACCAACGCTAACCGACATGAGTTCATCTCAAAACATCTATATTATGTTTTTCTCTAAGCTTACCTATTCTTGAAGAGGTCGACAACCTACAGAGAATCTCTCTCTGGCTGCAATATCAGCCCCCTTTTTGAACCTAAACGCAAAGCTAACGATAAGCATAAACCCAAGAGCCAAAACTGGAGGCTGCCTCAAGCAGATGATGCTCATGATGTTTTCCAAAGATTGTCATCAATGTTTCGCATACACATGGCCTCATTTTGTACAAAACATTCCAATTCCTTTATATGGTTATGCTAACAATAAGGAATGTGATGAACGTTCTCATGAATATCAAATGATGCCGCATTGATGAACATGAAAGTGCACTGAAATTCATAAGTGAAATCGCTTTGTGAATTTTCCACTATGACAAGAAAATAGGACAAAATATTGCATGTGTCGATCGTATAATGTTTCGGTTGATTTCAATTGCAAAATAAACATGTTGCAAACACGTGAGCTGCATAAATATCATCTGGGAAAGTAAGTGATTGTGTTGCTTGAGAATTCTTGAGAAATTTTATATGAGCACTTTTTTTTCAGTTCTTCACGATCCTGCTATTCCATTGGCTTCATATGTTATTATTGGTCGAACGTTACAAATCGAAAAGTACCGATAAAAATTCAAATAGATGAAAAAATAGTCTGGAAGTCAGTCTAAAAAAAAA